ACCTTTATTGTTTTCACATTTCACAGTTTGCACGAATAGCACTTTATACATACTGTGCACTTTCTATATATATATTGCCAATTACATATTTGTGAAAGTGCTGCACTTTTTCAGATTTGTGAATACATTAACTGGGATTGTTACCTATACCCTTTAGTGCTAGCGGCTACCTGGTAGAATTATTTATTATTTAATATCCTACGTGTATGCGCTCGCTTATACATTTCTTTAATTTCTTTAATTTAATAGATGCCAAGCATGCTATAAGCTTTCCTATAAACACTACCCTAAATAATTTGCTGAGGACAAATTCCCACTCATTCTTCATATATTATAAATAGATATGTACCAATTACTATTAGACAAAGCACAAAAAAGAAAGGATTCTCATTATATAATAGGGAGTTCTTTTTTGTACACTTTTTATACAGTTACGTACTAGCAATTTTGATTAATATTTGTTTGTACTTTGTTTATGATGCATACTGTCAGCAGCCATTCACTATTTTTTCTGCTTATCCACAGAAGGTGCACTACTGGCACATAAAGAATCTGTCAAACCAACTTCACACCTATTTTTTTCACCCAATAATATTATTTGAACACTTTTTTATCATCATCTCCCTACTGCTCCCACATATGGGCGACCCCTCAATCTTTTTTTTTTTTTTTTTTTTTTTACCAAATAGCAAAAAAAAACAAAAGGAAGAACCTATAAAGATCTTTGTGTCTAAAGAAACAAAATCTGGTTTTAAGTGGAAATTTTTCAGATAAAATTCTTTAAACTAATTTGATCAAGTGCATGAGATGATCCTGAAACAGTTAATCTATTGTTGTTGAAAGCAAAAGTCTCTCAACTGTTGGATAGGATAACATTTTTGGACATCTCTCCAGGAAATCAAAGCAACTGTTCAAAATACTGAAGTACAAGGATTAGGAATGAATATCATCACCATACCTACCCTCTATTCTTGACAGCTTCAAATATAAAAAACCATCTCAATATCCTCATAATACAGAGACACATAAAGATATTGTCTAGATCTGGAAGACTGCAAAAATCTGTACACCTAAACTATGAACAATAAAGCTCTTTTGGCGATCTCTATTTTATCTTAACTGACACACCAGCTCTTAAATTACTGTACACTGCAAATGGAACATTGTTAATTGTTATCAAATAATTTTTTCTTAGACCATTCTATTAAAAAGGTTAAAGAAAAAAAAAAAACAGTCCAACCATAACTAAATTAAGAGTTTTAGGTAATTATCAGCCAATTAGATCACCTTCTGGTCTCTGATAGCACTCAGGATACATATTATTGGGCGTTGTTCATATGGGCTACAGTGAAAAGAAATATACACAGCAAGCTTTTATAAAGTATTTTTGAATGTTTGGAAAGCTTTGTTAAAGCTTTTAGGGACCCATTCATACTTTGTGTGTAGCGGCAACATATACTAATCCAGTGTTACTGTCCATTTCTGCAGTGTTCTGCTAAGCAGCTACTCTATGTGGTGCTTTGCAGTGTCATTCATTGAGATAATGTTCCTGCATTACTGCACCACAATGATTTGCTAAAGTGTAAAAATGGGCCCTTCGGCATACATAAGCTCCAGTTTTGGGAGGTTAAACACAGATCTTAGTCTTCGTGCACACTGGACATTTTTACAGCTGCTGTTTTTGGCTTTTGATGTTTTTTTTAAACTCCCCAGCATGTTATCCTATGTGTCCATGCACACATAGACTGTAATCAACGTTTTTTGGCAGGGGTGTTTATTGGCTGGAAAAAAAAAACAGAACTAGTGGGTTTCTAGAGGAGTTTTTTAGCTGTAAAAACACTCTAACGCTGAAAAACATGGCACAACTCAGTAAATAGCGGCAAACCTGAGTTTTTGGACTTTTTTTTTGAGCAAAAAAAATGCTAAAAAACGAGCCTAAATGCTAAACACAAAAGTGCTGAAAAACTAAAATTTTTTACTTGACTTTACACAGCTAATGTTACCAGCATTATTAAAATGCCCCGTGTGCATGGAGCCTTAATGGAAGTGTTGGCTGCCATTCTAAACAAGCAGCTAGTAGGCTTCAGCACACTTAACAAACTGCAAGTAGTGTTTACCTTACCAGACTGGAGTTGAAGGTTGCTCTAAAGTTCACCTTTATAAAAAAAATAAATGCACTATTTTACAGGTAAAAAAATGTGCATTTATTATATTTTGTTGCAAGAGCCTGTAAACCATTGCACCAGCGATCATCAGATCGCTGGTGCCATGCAGGTCTCCTGCAGATCAGTCAATATATCTGCTTGCCCATACGGAATGTACGGGTAAGCAGAAATACTGACAGGAAAACTCAATGAACTACCATGGTGCTCTACAGCGCCGTGGTAGTTAATTGATAACTAGAAGCTGACAGCCACTAAGGCTGATGGGACTTGTAGTTTCTCATTTACAGAACACAGTGAAAGAGTGACGCAGCCATGCTAGCGGAGCCCCACATGGCCACGTTTTTTTTTTTTATTTGACAGCTAGTGAGGGGGGAGATCCCCCTCTATCTGTCAAAGTGGGGGAGCGGGGGCCGGTCTGATCATAACATGTTACACCCTGAATATGGGTGTAACATGTTATGAAAGGTGAATTTATCCTTTAACAAAGCTGCCCAAAGCATTTTGCAATAGCCAAAAGGTTGACTCATTATTTATTCTAGAATTTAACTCCAAACATTCAGTTGTCAGTTGCACACCTGTCAAGCAATCTCAATATTGCAATAGGAGCTGCAAAACACCCAGATAATGGATCTTCTGGTGCTCAGATGTAGTCAGCCTAACAAAGTTCATCCACAGTAAGAAATTGAAAAGATTCACACTCACCACTATTATCATCCATTTCTTTTATTGATGCAGTGTACTCCATATCATGTAAAAAAAAAAAATAACTCACAATATTTTTATCAGGTATAATGCTTGGATCTGGAGTGAATTGCATCAATAAGCACAGCACAATCTCAATTGCTTTTTGTGTTTTAAGCAGGAAGTATAAAAAATTGTTACCTACTGCTTCTGACTACAGCAGCGAGTGCAGATCTTTCCTTTTTCAGTACTAGGGTTTCCATATTTTAATATCTACGCATCTCCATATGTTGGTGATGATGCTCAATTATTCAGGTCATGGTATGGCTAGTAGTGGTTAGTTACATTTAACTTGATTTGGTCTGCAATGTTGAAGATGTTTCTCTGCTTATCCCAGCAGCTTCTATAGTACTGCTAAATGTCAGGAACATACCTCAGCATTTATAGCCACACTAGAAACTCTGTCATCTCATTCAAATCACCATGGAGTGTGTCAAGGCAGATATTGATTATTTAAATACAATATTGGCAAGTGTGAAAGTTTTGTGTATCCACCCTGTTCTAATGATATAATCCAATACCATGGTGTTAATTCTGGGACAGGTGTTAATAATTTTAGTTACATGGCTGAAGGTGTGAACTGTTGTCAAATGGATGGCCCAACATAGGAGGGTAGATAACTCAAGGAAAAGGGTAATTCATTATAGAACACTGAGGTGTACATTTTGTATAGAGAGGACAACTGGTTTGTAAGAGAGGAGAAAGAGGCCATCTACATCAAAAAGTAGCAGCCATAATAAACAGAGGAGGGGGCCTTCAACTCTGTAGGTCACCCACATATAATAACATTCTAACATCTCTATCAAGGCGATTTGGCAACAATTCACACTTTTAGCCACATTCTAACACCTGTCCCATGACACTATGTATTTGGATTTGGAATGAAAACAAACTTTTAGCTATCCCATCATGTTCTTGGACAATCACCATCTGCTATAATGCATTCCATGGTGACTTGGATCTTAGTGGCTGAAATACCTGTCGGGGTATGTTCCTGACACTCATTAGAACAGAAGAAACTTTTGGAATAAGCAGCAAAAATTTCTTCAATATTACAGAACAAATCCAGTTGAATATGACTAACTACTTCTAGTTATCCATCTCTACCTTTTGCAAGGATGGATTTTTCTTTGAAGGAAAACTCCACGAACTTAGAAATTTTGATAACGCTAACATTTTAGGACAAGTACTGTAATTCATAAGAGCTAGTCACTACTTTATTGCAATTTCTAACATATAAAATTTAGAACCACCATAGTCTGGACTTCATTTTCATAAATATCAGGATTCTAAAATAAATCCCACAACTTCTGTAAATCTATTCATCTCCATAAACCTCGGCTCACGGAGCCCAGTTTGTAAGCTGTAAGCAAATTAAAACTTTAAAATACTATTATTTAGTGTGCATCTTAGAATATATTTAGGCATGACTATATGTTGCATATTTTACATATTTTAATCCCTGGCACTTCTCTGGATTTTACCAGCAGTATTCTGGATCCATTCTGGACCAGCAAACTCTATCCCATTCCCATACTCCATTCCCATACTTAAGGCCTATGTACATCTTCGAACCCCCTTTCATGAATTTGAAAGCCCCCACATCTTAGATATATTTAGATATATTGCCACATTCTTAAAATCATGCATTTCTGCATTGCTATTGCACAAACTTAATACAGAGTTTTTTTTGTTTTTGAAGATCATTTTTTGTGTGTTTCTGAAGGCAATGCCTTTTGTCTCCATTTCCTCAAAAAAAAATTTTATGTTATCCCATGTGTTTAATTTTTCATTTATCTCTGCTTATAGTAACCCGTCCTTCTAGCAAAATTTGTTTGCCTTGACATTTTATGATTTCTAAACAAATTGGTGACATTTGTGTCCCCGACATATAGAAGCAAAATTGATGGGGTACACATATGCTAAACACAGTAAAAGTTCCACTCCTTAATATTTCCATTGATAAAATTTCTTCAATCCCTTCTCTTTGTTTGTTCTTCAATCTTCAACTTCCATCCCAAACTTAAGTTTTTTTTTTTTTTCAAAATACTCAACTTTGTTATGTCCATTTCCCTCCCCCAGCCTGTTTCACCTTCACTGCTTGTGAACATCCTCGCTACGCACAATCTTGTAGATGATCCAGTAGAAAGTATTGAATATAAGAAAAACCAAAGGAAAGCCGATCCTGGATACCTTGTCGATTTTTTTAGCCCGGCTGATAAAAAGCTTACGCATCTCATCTGGAGATCTTGAAGCAGGGGGTGCTGAACTGGTGGGGTTGTTGTTGTTGTTTCCTTTTACCGAGATCCCATCTTTGGCCTGAAGACATGCAGGGCCCATTCCGTAAGCAGCAAAGCTGAAGCGGCCTTCACCGGTGTCATCCTCCTGTAAAAGATTAAGCATAGGGCTCTACTCAAAATAAGACAAGATCATTGCACCCTCTCCATCAGGCTCTCTCATCCTCACTTCTCTATTCTTCCTGAAATTGTGTCATTTGGGAATCCACACAAATGAAAATTGGAATAATATGGAAAATTAAAACTGAGTTAGGCTCTACAAAAAGCACCCATCATTTCAGGGTGCATCAACATGACAGGTTTCCAATGTCTTATTTGTTATATCTATGTAAGAATGCCCCATGCCGCTTATACTGCCTGCCCCCTTGCCACTAGCCAGCAGCTAAGGAATGCTACTCTTTCCAGGAAAGTGGCGATTGTGCTGCATTGGTCTGACAAACCCCCTTGTTAGATATTCCTGTCCACATTAATTTATCTTTATGTCTATAACTTTTCTCTTATCTCTTGGAATCCATAATTGGCATGTTTTCATTAGTTAAAAAAAGTCAAATTTGCATTCCCTTTGACAGAATAACAAAAACAGGTTATTTGCAACCCATTTATGTCTTGGTATGCTTTCACTCTGTTACGATAGGGACATTTGTACATATACATCCACACATTTAATATTTTTTCTGAGCTTGTGTAGTATTTTCCAAGGACCAATTTGCACCTGTTGTTGATAGCAAAGATCCAAAAGCTTTTAAATAATTTTGTTGATTTACCTGCAAAAACCTTTAATACACATGTCTCCAAAGTGGAAATTATTAGTAACATTTGGAAAAAAGGTTCGGTGTTGCCATAGTAAAGACAGCAGCTTGAGGAATTAAAGAGCAAATGCCATAAAGCAGATTACATATCTAATGCTGGGGATGAATTTCCAAATCATATTTCCCTGTTTAAATCTGATATGATTAACCCTTCCTTTTCCAGATTATCTTGATTACAGTGATCACACTACAGTATAGATATGGTTGATCAAGCATCTGTTTTGGTGCTTTACAGTAGAAGAGCTTGGTACTATTTTATTGTATAATGATTTATTCAGGTCCAGATATAATTTGGCAAAATAAATTTGGATAAAATAAATTTGTGAAATGATGTGAAAGTGTATGTATACTCAAGAATATGTTTTTTTTGTTTTGGCTAGAGTATAAAAGAGTTAGAACCCATGTCAGGTTTTTTTCGTCTGTGTCCCCACTGGGGAGATTCACTCACTCTTTTTGTACCTGTGGCTGTTTCCAATAGAGAAAATGACAGGAAATCCAAAATGGATTAGTTGTCACCAGAATAAGGGATGGTGTTTGGGTTCTGTGCTACCATGGGCTTGTGGAGAACCCTGCATTGTTACTGTTTGGACCGAGTGAAACAATGCAGGAATTACAATAGATATCAAAATGCACAACCTAGCCTTTGAACTCAAAGTGGAACTAAAGGCAAAACTTTTTTTTTTTTCATTTTAGAGTAAGGGAGGGTTATAATTCCTGCCAGGTGTTTTTTCCATCTGTGTAACCATTGGGAAGATTTCCCCTTACTTCCTGTCTGATAGCCAAAACAGGAAGTGAACTCCTGGAAGCTGCTCGGACAATACAGAGGTTTGGAGTTATGGGAAATAGGCGTTTTTGAAGTTTTATTAATGTAAGAGCAATAATAAAGTATATTCTGAACATTTTATATGGAATTACAGTATATCCTTTCCATATATCATGTATATTGGTGAAGCATGGGTACTATGAGTACTATGGAATACTCTGGCTAAAAGTCCAGATGACATCTATGAAAAACTTTTTTGAGGCTGTGATGACATCATAAAGCCTAATACTCTGGCTGGGAAGGCGGTCATTGGAGTAAATATATTATACCCTTGGTGGTCTTAAGGCGTGGTTTTAAGTCCATTTGGTCCACATTGTCCGTTTGAGCCATTTGGAGGGCTCGCTAACCAGGATTTTTCCATATTGGAATCATTATTGGGAATGGCTTTAATTTTGGACACAAGTGCATCATTTTTGTTTTTGGAGACTTAATGTTTTCACGATTTTTCACAATTATTGATTTTTGTATTTCAGGAGGGTTTGAGCATATTGTGGTTGTACTTAGATTATTATACTTTCAAGGGTGAAAGTTAGACTTGTATGCTACAGGGTGTTAACTGTTTATTTGTATGTATAGGAGGATACGTATTCATATAGTTATTAGGCCATAAATGCTGCAAATTCCTTTCCTGCAACCACAGACAGTGTTGACAGTGGAATCCTCTTTGAGCCATTGTGTTCTCCTGGTGGGGAGATGGAGTGGAGCCATACCCCCCCCCCCCCCCCCCCCCCCCCCCCCCCCCCCCCCCCGCCGGGAGAAGACAGTGATTGCTGCTAGCGGCTATAATAGCCACTACTGATAATCGCATGTAAAATCTGGCATGTTTGTTGTACCCAAGTTGATTGATCAATCAATTTGGGTATATACAGCCTGCCCATACATGATGGATGGCTTTAGGAGGGTGCTACTATGGTGTAGTGTGACTGCATTATTTTGACTGTCGACTGCTCAGGAGACAGCAGTGGGAAACACTGATGTCACCCACATGTCCTGGAGGCATTGAAAGCCAGGGCCGAGGTAAATATATTTTTCTTTTTTTAGCTTTGCTTTTAAATGATAATAGCAGTGGAATATGCCTGGACAATGTGAATCAGCACAGTAGCATTTAGTTTTTGAAGAACATGACAGGGTTATTTACAGACAGGTGATTGTAGGAGACAGGGGCAGAGTATCATCACCCCAAAATACAAAGTGCCCAAACAAGGACAAGCGCATCAGGCAGTTGTTGCTGACAGTTCATTCAAGAGCTGCCTATTTTTATAGCACCTCAATGCCTCCTTTGAAAAAAAAGCAAAAAATTAAAAAATACTTTGCACCCAAAACACTGAATATCCTCACCCCAGGTAAAGGCTAAGACCCTGCCCCATATACCAATATACCCAAAAAGTATTTGGTCTTTTCTTATTCGAATTGATTTAAAAATAGTTGTATTCATTTTATCAGTAATATCTGCAGTGGGTGTTTGGTAGTCATCTGTGGCCCAGGTCTGAGTTGTTTCATAAAAGTCCCCCTTCTATGCTGAAGGTCCTCCCTAACATTAAAAGTGCATTAGGGCAGGCAAAAAGTTTAAGCACATATTGGGTCACCTCCAGCCATTGGTACATCTTTGGCACTGAATATTCTATGGGTATTATCGCTTCTAAGCGTTTTAATTACAGCCTGCCTGTGTTTGCTTGACCAATGCAGGGATTGCCTTACAAGGAAAAAAACTTAAATAAAAAATGTAAAGAATAAAACAAAAATGATAACAAATGTAAAACGGTAAATAATGTCCTGGGTGGACATGCCCAAGTCATGAAGTGGAGAACTGTTTTCAACAGCTGGTATGTGAGCAGTTGAAGTGTCAGGCTAGAATACAGCAACTGGGTTAACAAAAATAAAAATACATAAACTTTGTGTTAAAGGGGCTTTTTTCAACACTTCCTTACCATGTGTGATTCAGTAGAGCAATATTCTCCACATACAGTTGTGTCCAAAATTATTCAACCCCCACTGAAATTGAGTGTTTTGGCCAGTTTGACATTGCTTTTGATCATTCAGTCATCTTGCTTACATTTACATTAAAGAGGCACTTGTAGGTCAGACAAATATAACATAACAGTTATAATGAAATAACCACAAATGTCTTTTCTGTGCTCACAGCATTATCAGTTTTATTCAACCCCCAAGTGACATTCAATCTTAGTACTTAGTACAGCATCCTTTTACAGTTATAACAGCTTTTAAACGTGAAGCATAGCTTGACACAAGTGTCTTGCAGCGATCTACGGGTATCTTCGCCCATTCTTCATGGGCAAAGGCCTCCAGTTCAGTCACATTCTTAGGCTTGCGCACTGCAACTGCTTTCTTTAAGTCCCACCAGAGGTTCTCAATCGGATTTAAGTCTGGTGACTGCGATGGCCACTCCAAAATGTTCCAGCCTTTCCTCTGCAACCATGCTCTAGTGGACTTGGAGGTATGCTTGGGATCATTGTCCTGTTGAAAGGTCCAACGTCTCCCAAGCCTCAGGTGTGTGACGGACTGCATCACGTTTCCATCCAATATCTCCTGGTACTGAAGAGAATTCATGGTACCTTGCACACGCTGAAGCTTCCCTGTACCTGCAGAAGCAAAACAGCCCCAAAGCATGATTGACCCTCCACCATGCTTCACAGTAGGCAAGGTGTTCTTTTCATCATAGGCCTTGTTCTTCCTCCTCCAAACATAGCGTCGATCCATGGGCCCAAACAGTTCTAATTTTGTTTCATCAGTCCACAGAACACTATCCCACAACTTTTGTGGTTTGTCCACATGGCTTTTGGCATATTGCAGTCGACTCTTCTTATTCTTTGGAGACAGCAAGGGGGTACGCCTGGGAGTTCTGGCACGGAGGCCTTCATTACGCAGTGTGCGTCTTATTGTCTGGGCTGAAACTTCTGTACCCACATCTGACAAATCTTTTCTCAGTTCCTCAGCAGTCACACGGGGACTTCTCTCCACTCTACGCTTCAGGTAGCGCACAGCAGTCGAAGTCAGCATCTTCTTTCTGCCACGACCAGGTAGCGTTTCAACAGTGCCCTTTGCCTTGAATTTGCGAATGATGCTTCCTAAGGTGTCTCTTGGTATGTTTAACATCTTTGCAATCTTCTTATAGCCATTGCCCTTCCTGTGAAGAGAAATCACCTCTTCTCTTGTCTTCCTGGACCATTCTCTTGCCTTCACCATGTTTGTAACCACACCAGTAAATGTCTAGAAGGAGCTGAGTATCACAGTCATTTTAAAGCTGCCTAATTGGTGCTTATTATGCTTGATTGCTGCTCGGTGACATCCACAGGTGTTTTCAATACCTGATGGAAAGCACCTGTATGAACCTCTGTTCTTCAGAGTGGTAGTCTTTAAGGGGTTGAATAATTGTGGCAATGAAGAAACCACATAAGAACCATTTACTACTGTATTAC